TCTTTAATCCATTTTGAATTGATTTGGGGGTATGGCATATGTCAGCCATAAAACCTACAAGTAATACACTCACCTTCCCCAGCCTTGCTGTGTGTGGGCTGGCCATAAAGAAATTATCTGACCTTCTTTGTCTGACTGTGGGTCATCAGAACTTACTCCACAAGGGGTCCTGCCCTATGCTTGAGGGGTCAGGAATGTCACACAGAGAGATCAAGAAGAATCTAAACAACAGGCCTTACTGGTTTCCCCACTCAGACTGTTACCATTAGATCCCAAAGTGTGATTTTTGTCCAATCACATTTCTTCATGTTTGTCCACTCTTCTTCAACTCTAAGCTTAAGAAAATAGACAGTCATTCCCCGAGTCATTGAGTTCCATTTCTGAATGCCGCACATCACATAAAACTTTGTTTAAATATTAAATAAAATAGGTTATGTCCTTCTCTTACTAACCTATCTTTTGTTATAAGAGTCACGACCCTTATGATGGGTGAGGACAGCTAACCCACCTGCCTGCCCCTACAATCTCCAGTGTTTAAAGAGTGCCTGGTTAAACAAACAAACAAACAAAAAATAGTTAATTTTGAAACACATGGTTGAAAATTTTAGATTAAATCACTGTTTCTGAAAGATCTGGCTCCTGCCAGAATGTTAGTGGGCTCCTAACTCATCATCACGAGTGAAAATTTATGTTCCCAGATTGGTGTTGGTGTAGCTATTATTACCGTGAAGAGAAAAGTGACGTGCCTCTCTGTCTGTAACCACCACGTCGACAATCAGTAATGTGCCCTAGGGATATTTCGTTCTGTACAGAGAGCCTCCTTATTATTTTGATTTCAAATTACTATTCCAGAAAGTAATATTGCCTCTAGGTATACTTGTGTATCAAATGTTTGTTCCATATCAACTTAAGTTATATGGAGGGTAGTGCTCTAATAATGACACAGTTGGTGGGGTGACGATGAGAGCTGTGCAGAGGGTCAGGATCTCACTTCTGCTCTGAACAGGTCATTTCCACTAGTGACTATCTCCTTAATGGAACAATTGGGATAATGCTTTAAATGACATTATAAGGGAGTTGAACTAGGCACAGTGTATGCTAGAGTGACTTAGTTGGCAACCCCAGGTGTTTGACACCCCCTTGCATCCACACCCATTAGGAGTGCCTCTCTTGTTGACTCTGAGTTTGGCAATATGACTTGCTTTGACCAATGGGACAAAGACACACATGATGTAAGTGGAGGTGTGCTGACACGCTTGGGTGTTTCCACTTCTGCTCTCTTAGACACCCCCTGCCATGAGAACATGCAGGGGCTAGCCTGCTGGAAGAATGTGGGAGCCGCAGGGAAGACAGCTGAGGCCATCCCAGACCAGCCAGCCCCCCAGGTACCTATCGGGGAACTCAAAGGGCTGAGAGAGCCCAGCTGAGATTCATTGAGTTCATCCCAGATCAATAGAACCACCCAAGCAACCATGGACTGGTGAGGAATAATAAGCAGAGAGTAGCTGTTTTAAGTCATTAAGAATTTGGTCTGCTGCAATAGTAAACCAGTTGGTGGTATAAGCAGAAAACCATCTTTGCAATCTGCTTTATGGATCATTTCTGACTCTTGGATAAAAAGCTAAGTTTGGGGGAGAGAGAAAGGGGATTTCCTGTTCACGTTCATGTACACTGTGAAATAATACAGCATGGGTTGCTTTCAATCACAGGAACCATCTCTGTTCAGTTATTGAGATACCTGGTTCAGTATAATAATCAAAGCACCAACTTTAAAGATGAAGACTTCTCTCTCCTGGCTAACTGCTTTTGGACTTGAGGCCTGTGGTGGGGGAGATGGATGTGGTTGGATTATTTTTTCTTTCTCACCTTGCTTGGACTCCTATTTTGGCTCATCAAGGAGGACGATTAGGAGTTTAAAACAAAGACATACCTGCCGGGCAGGTGCAGTTTCATTCTCACACTTGCTTTCTGGCCCTGGTGGCTTTTCAAATCCCGTTTATTTTCTCTTGGAATCTTCTAGTGTGCTTTTCAGCTTTTTTCCCACCAGGAACTTCCAATCCAAGACCCACCAAGGAGGTAATGCCTTTTATTTTTTAAGGTATATTTTCGTGCATAATACATACAGAAAAGTAACCAAATCAGATCATTAGATATGGGTGACATTTTCACTAGGTGAACACATTCCATTGTACGGTCACCCCTCAGACCCAGACCAAGAACTGAAAAGCCATGGGGGTCCTAGGCATGAACGTAACAGAGCTGCTGCCTCAGCATCCATTTCTCAGCCCGACGTAAGTTGTCTGACACCCAGCTGAATCCTGTCATTTTTGGCCTGGTTAAAATCTCCCCTCCTTGTGTGAGTTTTGCAATGACTTGCTTGTTCCGTATCTCACTCACATAAAACCCAACATGCCAGCTGTTGACCATGAGAAAGCATCAGAGTCGTGTCATTGAATCCCCCCTCATTCATGTTTTCTTTAAATTAGCTAGTCTACAAGCCCTGAGAAAAGTTCCCAGGAATAATGGCCATGGCCACAGTCCTCTGTCTCTCTGTCACTCTCCACCTTCTGGCTGAGATCCCTGGCTCCTCCCCAGACTCTCCTGGCCTGCAGCAACACGGCATCTCCAGCCTCGCAGGGTCTGTAAGTAATAAATTTCTTCTGCTTCATGCATTTTTGTTTCCCCTCCCTGCTGTGTCTCACCTGACCGACCCACTCAGACCTCTCTTCCCCTACCCCCACCATTAAACAGAAACCACAACAATAAAAATCACAACAGTCCCAGAAGCCCCTCCTCCCCTGTTTCCAACCACCCTCATTGCCTATCCTAACATCTAACTCTACAAATAAACAATAGACATTGTTTTCTTTGATAAGCCTGTACCTTCAAGGACAGAATGCCCAGATTGACGTCTGCTAGTTCTCAGCAAATCAGTTTACCCCAAATAGACAAACAAAACTTGCCCTTCCCAGACTTATAAATCCTGCTGTTGCCCTTGTACTGTGACTTAGCCTCCAACTGTCTACTTAGAGTGAGTAGAGCGATGATATGCCAAGTCACGGAGCAGGGAGAAAAGAATAAATGTCTCTGTGAGTTATTCTCTGACAAAGACTGAGAACAACTTCTCCCAGATAGCTTAAGATGTGAGATAATATATTAAATACAGTCATAAAGGTGGCTAAAGTGTGATTACTTTTTTTAACCATAAAGAGGAATAATTCTCAATGAATCTAGAGACATATAGTTCCTATGTTTCTTTTAAAATTTCTAAGCATTTAGGAAAATGGAACTCATTTCATATGCAAATGTAATTCATTTCATATATGACTGTAAAGGAAATTTAGTTTTAATATGAGATTAATAAAATAGTCTCTATTCTTTCCATTTATACCAAAGATCGTGCCAAGCATGAATTTTCAAATTCTTTTTAAATATTATAATCAGTTACATAAAAATGGATCTGGTTTAACAATGATCTATTCTTAGTTTCAGCATTTTATAGGATTTTTGCTATAAAAAGGTAACTAAAAAGTGATTCAAAGCAGGACATCAGCATTTGCTGAAGATAGTTTTGCATTAAAATTTTATCTCACTTTAAGAAAATTAGGATAGTGAACGAAGGTATTTAGTACACCAGAGAATGAATTAAACAACAATCACAAATTGAATTTTTTTTTCTGGTTTTCATTGTTTGAGGAGATCTATCTACAAATTCTGCTTCAACTGGGGCATTACCAAAAGGAAGAAAAATATTCCTTCCTGGCATTTTACTGCATGTACCAGTTTATAGTCTTCAAATTTTGTTATCTTTCTCTGGCCACTTAACCCTTTATTTATTCCCAAGAGGATTCCTCAAATTTCTCTTAAGTTCCCTTTTAGAAGCACTTGGAAAACCCCCAGAGAAAAGCAATAAAGGCAAAAATTATTCTCCAAATCAGTTTATATGTTTGATCAAAACGAACTCCTTGAAATACATAGAAATGCAAAATAGACAATGCTACATCTATTATGTACATAAAATCTGTCATATCAATACAAAAGCTTTAGTATTTAATATAGTTTTAAGAATGCAAGTCTATTAGTTTTCTCACGCCCTACTCAAATAAACAATCTTACATATTAGCATTGCTTTCTCTGAAATAAACATTTTCAGAGGTTTGGGGTACATCTGATATGTGAATCACAAATTTTTGTCCATCTTTTAGGGTTACGAGGGCCTCTTGTCCTACAGGAAGGCTGAGCTTAACGGCGCTTTTGGTGGCCTTGTCTTCCAACAATACCTGGATGAGCTGCAAGAGGCAAATGTTAAAAAGGAAAAGATTAAAAGGGGCGTTACACTGTTCTCTGTTTCTGGAACCACCATTTGAATACTCCTCCCACATGCAAATACTTCTATCGCACCCATGCCTCCACCCAAAATGGGAAGTTTGCCCATTTATTTCTGCTAAGGGAAACCCTAATTTCTCAAGGGAAAAAAGCTCAGGGCCTGATGAGAACATTGTGGGAGGGCTCCCAGTCCTGGGATGATGCCAAGGGCAGGGGCGCAGATGGGTTCTTTGTGGGAAAAGGAAGAGGGGCCTGTAGTTATTTTGTTAGAAACACTCTTGAGGTCCCGTGAGAACGAACCCACACTCTGCCTGTGTAGACATGGGGGAGAGTCCTGTGAAACGTGCCTGTGAATTCTCTATGACTTTGGCTGCCTTCCAGATGGACACCAATCCCTGCATCTCATCAAGTCTCTGGAGCAGACATGGTCAACTCCAGTTCCCACATAGACTCTCCTTCCCCCACCCATCAGATATTCCATTAGATGGAGGGAAAAGCATATAGAAACAGTCATCTGATACTGGTTGAACTGACACTTGGTCATGTACCATGTTTCCCTGAAAATAAGAACTACTCCAAAAATAAGCCCTGGCCGGATTTCTATGCATTTGTTAAATATAAACCCTACCACGATAATAAGACCTAGTGATGGGCGTGGCTATGCAGGCCTTTCCCCTGCCTGAGCAAGTCTTCCTATCAGAGAGACACAGAGAACTCACTATCCTTCCCTTGACTCCAGGGGAGTTTGGAGGACTTGCAAATCCTTGGGCATGATTACTTTAAAACCAATAGACACATATTTTCTTGGCTGATATCATCAATAAATCCTTCATAAATTAGTATATTTTGACAACTTACACCTGATAACTTTGAATGTAAAGCACATTGCTCACTTTTTCTCTAAATTCAACAAACAGCACCAGCCAATGAAAGATGCCTTTCTTTTTTCTCAGAAAAACTGTCTTTACCTCTATCCTATGGCTGAAGAGTCAGTTTAAAAGAAATGAGGTGGCTCAGCGCCTGTGGCTCAAACGGCTAAGGTGCCAGCCACATACACCTGAGTTGGTGGGTTCAAATCCAGCCTGGACCCACCAAACAACAATGACGGCTGCAACCAAAAAATAGCCAGGTTTGTGTCAGGCGCCTGTAGTCCCAGCTACTTGGGAGGTGGAGGCAGGGGAATCGCTTGAGCCCAGGAGTTGAAGGTTGCTGTGAGCTGTGATGCCACAGCACTCTACCCAGGGGGACAGCTTGAGGCTCTGTCT